GTTTTAGCTAAAAAAAAAATTTAGGAAAAAAAAGGAAAAAAAAAAAAAGAAATTTTTAAAAAAAACTTCAATTAAAAAAAAAAAAAAAAAAAAAAAAAAAAAAAAAAAAGAGTAATAGAGGAATTAGCCATCAGATGTAATTTTAAAATAGTTATTTGAAAATATTTTCAAGCCAACAAAAAAGTTAACTTAACTAGTTGTAAATGTAAATCAATTCAACTAATGTGAAACAATATCATTTAGGGAAACTAAACTTTAGCTAAGCTATAAAAGACCCTGTCATAATTTCTGCTAATTTTAAGAGAAAATATGAAGTTTCAGAGAAACATCAGTGGATTTACACAGCAAGTCTTCATGTTCACCCTATAAATAATTTCATCTAAATATTCTACTGAAACATGAAGGCAAAGCAGGAAGAGTTTTTCAGCACTGAAAAATCTCAGAACTTTGTTGTCCAATGTCTATGAATATTTGTATTTTTTAGCACTAAAGGGGAAAAATGTGGACTTGCAACACTGGTGTCTCAAAAATAATGGTTCATTTAAATGAGCCAATTTAACAAGAAAAACAAAACAAAACAAAAAAAAACAACAACAAAGATTACCATTGGTCTTTCTCTGATCGTCAGGCGGAGGAGGAGTGCAGCCATTCATGTGGCAATGTGAGAGGTTACAATTCCGGTTACTTGCTGGAGCACACGTGATAACCGAGGGCCGATTCTGGAAAACAGGAAAACGAAAAAATCTGATGAGATTCATACAACAAACTAAAGGAGACCTTGATAAGTATTACTATTTTGAACCGTAGCAGATTAATGATTGCTAAGAAATCCTTGTAAATACTTTAAAAACCACCAAACTACTTTTCTCAAACATTGAAGCTTAAAGTGTGAACATGAACATTTTTGAATAAAGGTTCGAAACGTCTGTTATATATATATATGAAGTGATAATTTTGCAGAAGAATGTCAATTTCTTTAATGCTGAAGTTTTCTGCTCTGATCACCAAAAATGAACAATCATTTAATGTCAGAATTTAATCAACACCCTTGCTCCACAAACTGGTTAAAGCTAAATTGAAATGTATTTTTTAATCAGCAAAAGGACTATAGTGGTTCATACAATATCATTTACTGATCATTTCAGTCAATATGGACACACCTGCTGCCGTTCTGCGGTCCCACTCATGATAGGCCGCGACACTTCGATGTCACTGTGGCCTTTGGTCAGAGCCAGCGGCTGGTCTATAGCGTAGCCAGAAATGGTTGCATATGGGTTTGGCCGCTCCATAGGACTGTGGCTCAGGCTCCAGTGCTCATTGCGGTTGTCTCCAGCAGACGGACGAGCGCTGAGCAAAACAAATGGAGATCAGAGATCAACCTCACTGATGCATCTCTGCGGACACTTCACAGCTCACCAGTTTTACCTTTATAATAAAAATATAGTGTAAGCAGAGGTTACTCTAAAAAAAGATGTAGGCTTTCTCCAATGCCCATTTCAGAAGTTAAGATAGAACACACAGGTACAGGTGTGAACTAAGTCAGCAGCAAATATTTCTGCACATATTTCTGAATCTCCGTGACATTTATGAGCCGATATTAGAAGGTGTAATATGAGGATTAGAGAATCAAAGATGTTACAAAGAGGAAAAGGTCCAGATTGAAAAAGTTTAAATTTTACCTCAATTTATTTCCATTTGCATTAACATAAATGTAGGAAATTTTAAGCTAAGCTGTAAAACTTTGCAAAACTGCTACAGGGTTTTGACATTTTAGAGGATGTGTTTATTGCACATCATTTATGCTTCAATCTGAGAAAATTTCCCTGATTTACAACTTCTAAATGCAAATTGGCAGACTTAATTTAATTGTTCTGCTCTTAAGTGCACTTACAGGTGAGTAGCAAACATTCTGCTCATTTTGGTCATGTGGTCGTCATCACAGTTCAGTCTGTTTTCCATTTGTTCGTCCCCATACTTCCGTTTGTTTGGGCAGTGTGGGGAAGGCCCAGTTATGGTTGGCACAGCAGTAGACAGGGAGGGGATCCTGGACTCATCTGTGGAAAAAGGTCAGCAGTTTATTTATATTCTATATTAATTACAGTATATTTATTTTTAAAAAATTGTTTTTGCTGAACACTCTTTACTAGTTTCAATTGTTGGATTGTTTTCAAATAACTACAAAAAGACAATTATGAATTTAGCAGTTTAGAATATTTCTTAGTTATATTTAAATAAGGATTTGGGTCATTTCATGTATTTACCAAAAGTGACCAAGCAACTATTCATGTGCTTTATTTGTGATTCTTCATAAAATCAGGAAAATTATGGATAACCCAGACAACCCTCTTTATGAGACTGTCTAGGGAAAATATCTTCAGTCAGAGGCTTCTTTAAATTCGTTGTAATACAGTTTGCTACAAGAGATTTTTTTTCTACCAACAGCCGTCACTATCTACAATAACTCAGTAGAATTTGAAATAACACGAGTTACAACATTCAATTTCCCTTCGGGAACAATAAAGTATTTTTAGATTTGAATCTAAATGAAGCTTGAATTTTATAACATCCACGGTTATAAAACGTCTTTCATATCATTAACAAACTTGGAACACCACCTGCAGCAATTAATTACTTCGCACCAATACGCGGTTTGTTTAGTTTAAAGCAATTGATTGTTACTTGCCAATAGCGTTAACGCAATAAGAACAAGAGAGACGACGTCACATAAACAGAAATAAAATGTCATATCAACAGAAACAAAAAGGCAACTTTACCGTCGTAGTGCAGTCTCCCAATGTTATTGTTCATCTTGTCCAGGAACTGAGAGTTCAACAGGTCCATTCTAGTGCAAAGCATTTACATGTACAGGCTAGTTGCTAACGTTGACATTAGCAGGTTATTCTATCCAAGTCAACAACGCAAACGTATCTCCTAAAAAGAAAAAGTTAAGAATGTTATAACACGCTTTAAGTCCAAATACATTAAATAAAATTAATTTCTTAAGACTAATAGTCCTTTGGCAAATTGTATGTCGTAACAGATTCAAACACCCACGACTAGCATGACAGCTAACCAACCGCAAACCACTAAGCTAGCGGATAATACATTACTTAGCTCTAATTGGTTTATTTTAACACTTCATATCAATAGCTCTATCCCGAAACAAACTTAAAGTAATTGTTAAAGACAATGTCAGAAAACTACAAATGTTTTAAGCGTAATTACACGAGTCAACGAAGGAAATGGCTAACTTTAGCTCAAGTCACCCAAAACTAGTGTTAGCACAGTCGCAAACTCAGTAGGCTCAAAAAGTTAACATTCAGCTAAAAACTATGAACGACGCGTTAGCGACAATCTACTTTGTTTAATTCAACAAACGTAATGTCAAAAAGGATAAGGGTAAGCTTCTAATGGTACTTACTCAATCTATAATCTTGGTCTTACAACAACAAAACCATAGTTTGTACTGTGCTTCGCGTACTTTCCCATCATAGGAGGCGGAGCCCCAAAACAAAAGACCAGCCCAGGCGTAGAGACGAGACATGTTTATGAGTGCACCTGAATCACAATCATGTGATTCGTATAGCTAAAGTATATTTACAAGTTCTGAAAAAAAATATTAGCTGAGAGAAAACAAAAAACGGTTGTTTATGACAGTAAATTCAACAAATGGAATAATAGTTTAAACACTGTAGGCTGGGATTTTAAAATACAGGTGCTCGTCACCACTTGAGCCTGTGCTGGATCACTTTCTACTGTCCTGTGGATCTTTCTGGTGTGTAAACTGAATTTCAGACTTCAATTTGCACTACTGTAAAACAACCAGTTGGTGTCCCTCTCACACACAGTAAACTCAAAGCAACACCCTTTGGTATTCCTGGGGTCTGCAATACTTTCAAACTAAAGAGACCTCCCTACTTACCATCAAACCCAAAATATCGCGGCATTTATATATTTATGTACATTTTTATATATTTATATACAAAGGTATATATTTATACAGTTTATATTTACAAAAGTGGTAGGAGATGCTTAAATAGCTGGGGAGATAGGAGTAGAGTAGAGAAAGAAAATGCAAGTGAACATCTTCAAAATCTGCTTTTACACCCTCAGAAAGAGAAAAAAGCATAAAACCTTGAAACCACAGGAACTCACAGCATGTGTATTTAATAATAACAATGATAACATCACCGAAAAATAGAAAGTACAAGTTAAAACAAGATGTATTGGCCATTGCAGCCCAAATAGAAGTGTATCTACAAAACACCTGAATATGAACACCTTTGTCTTTTGCTTAATTAACATAAATAAAGGCTTTAAAACAAGAGTTTGTGTGTAATTAAAGTACAGTGACAGAGTCTATGCGCCTTTTCAGACTGACAATCACTCTCTTAAAATGATAAACACAATGAGAGGCAGGTGAAAATATTAATTTCAAACTATACATATTTTATATTAATCTGGATGATTAAAATGTAAGTAGTAAGAAAAGTATAATTATATTTATTGTTTTTCACATAACTGCTTGTGAGTGTCCTTGCCAGAGACTTACTGTGTTGGCCTTTGCTTTTATTTGTTTTGATCTCTGGACACCACAAGCTATTGATTAAATGGATTCCTTCCCAACCATTTTCCATACATCCATCCCTCTCATTCTACATTTTTCTTGCGCATGCATTCCGGTTTTGTGAATGCAAATATATATACAACAAAGATAGTAGCTTTAGGATTTGATAAACCACATACACCAGAGATTGTTTACTGGATGCATTTGTGCCTCAAGGGACTGCTGCTGACGTTTCCTCCCTTTCAGTGCTGCCCACAGGTCCAAACAGCCATTTTAGAATGTGTGGCCGACAGAAGTGCTCTTCATAGACAGTGGGCAGAGAATCCTACCAAACATGGGTAGGAGGTGTAAAACCATTGTGATGCATAACCCGGATACCCCCTTGCATCTCCACTGGAAACCCCTCAATTTTTCATGCTGTGGTTCAGAAAAGGATGATGTCTGTAAAGCAGAAAATGGGGGAGGGGTAGGGAAATCAGGCATGCCACTGAGGGAGAGGGAGAGGAGAGAGGACGACGGGAGGAAGGCACAGTCGAGCATCATGTGCTATGCTTGAGGAAAGCACAGGGTGAGGGGATTGGCTGCTGGAAGCTGTAGCGTCACTGCCAGTGAGGGAGAGCTTGGAGGATGCTCTGCAAAGCTGGGAGGTACTACATTCGTTAGGAGTTTGTACGGAGACCCCAGCCTCCACCCGCTACACACTCACAGCCAGGAGAACCGTGCAGGATAAATTTCCACACCCAGCTCTTGCTTACTCCTCTCCAGCCATGAATTACCTGCGCCGGCGCCTCTCGGACAGCACCTTCATCTCCAACCTGCCCAACGGCTACATGACAGACCTTCAGAGGCCTGACCCTGCTCAGCCTCCTCCACCTGCTTCCTCCACCCCTGCCAAGTCTCCAACAAGCGGGCCGACACCTCCAGCCGTTTCCCCTGCTCCTGAGAGGAAGCCTCAGACGTCTCAGTCGACCAGCGCTGGCTTCTTCAGCTCCATCACAAATGTTGTGAAGCAGACAGCTGCCTCAGCAGGGTTTGTGGAGCAGACCCAAGTCACGACACCCAAGAAGTTTAAGATTCTGCTTGTGATCGATGAACCCCAGCAGGAGTGGTAAGACAATACGTTACTCATTTCTAATTAGTTTATTGTGAGCTATTTTTGTGAATTATTGTTGCTCCATCCTTTGTGTTTGTGTCAGTTTTCTTTTTTTTATCTCTCTCTTGGGTATCATGTAGTTTTGTAAAGACTAGAAACTACTATAACATCATCTCTGTCAAATGCACAGTAAATATTAACGGTTATTATCAATTGGTGGTGTTCAGTTGCTGCCAATAAGTATTGAGCCAGAATATTCTGGTTTTGAGGAATGGTCCTGTAATGACATAACACCAAGATGGAGGATTCCACTTTCCCTCCTTCATCTATTTGTTTTCCTATTTTGTTGCATTTTTCTCTTTTCATGCATCATTTTCTGGTGTTAAATGTTGGCATTTTAATTATGTCATTACTTTGTAGCATGGCATGCTATATATATGTTAAAACTACTGTGCCACAGGTTGTGCTGAACCTGAAATGAAGTACCATTTTTGTTCCTCTTGTTCCCTTCAAAGCACTGCAGTGTTTTCCCTCAATCAATCGGGTTTCCCTTCCTGCTTACCAATTGCATGTCACACGACATGCATTGCACAATTATAGGAAAAGCTAAATGCAAGACATTGGAACCCCTGATTTATTGGACAGCAACAGTGTAAAATACAAGGAAGCAGAAAGAACATCAGTTCGTTGTTACATCAGTTTCCTGTGCTGCTCCAAGAGCAGACCTTCATGCCATTAATATGAAGAAACTGGGGGAACCTTAATTATTTCATTCTAATGGTGTTCAGATTCCAGGGGGATCTTGCTGAGAGATAGGATAAACAAACATCTTTGTCGGTTTGATGGACTCAAAATCAATAAAGTGAATATATTTCTTCTATTAGTATGTAGTAGTATTACTATACAATTTTAATACATGGTAATTGAATCCTTTCATGATGACTTTTCATTTGTGTAGGGTCAGAGCGGATTTTTCCTCTTGAATGTGTGTGCTGAAGTATTTGCCTCATTGCATGTAGTTTAATTTAGATTTAAAAAAAAAAAAAAAAAAAAACAGAAGACTTACTGAGAACTATAAAGTTTGACACTAATCCTCAACCAATCACATTGCAGGAACTCAATGCATAAGATGTGGAGAAAATGATTTGGTAAAGTTAAAATGGATCATAAAAATGGGGCGGAAAAAAGAAGATTTAATGGACTTTGACCATTAAATGATGCTTTCTGCTGAGGTTTTTGAGTGCACCAATCCCCTATATTCACAATTATGGTCAGAAAAAGAGAAACTATACAGTGAGGGACAGTTGAGTAGACGAATAATGTCATATCAGAGTTCAGATGAGAATGGGCAACATGATAGAAAGGCAGCAGTGGCTGATTGAATGCCAGATTTTGATTCAAATGGGCTGCATCAGCTTGAAACCATGCCGGGTGTCTCTCCTGTTAACTAAAACCAAAAATCTGAGGGTATAATTCACATAGGCTTGCCAGAACAAGACCATAACAGATTGAAAAAAGCTTGTCTGTTTCTCTGAGTCTTGAATTCAGCTGCAACATTTAGATGTTAGTGTCGAAATTTGGCATAAACAACATAAATAAATCCACCCTGCTCTGTATTCACAGTTTAAATCTGTGGTGGTGTAATTGTTTGGGATTATTTTCTTGGCATGCTTTGAGTCCCTTAGTCCCAACTGAGAATTTTTTCAAATGCCAGACCCTGAGTATTGTTGTTCACCATGTTCATCATCCCTTTTTGACCACAGTGTACCCATTTGCTGAAGACTACTTCAGCAGGATATTTATATTCCTGCTGGTAGATGAGTACACTATTACATGATGATGTAGGAAACATTCATATGCAATGATTAGTTCAGACTCTTATCTGCAGGATGGATATCAGCCATGTGTATTCATGTGTTCTATATTGCTTTTAAAAAAAAATGAAGTTATTTTTTGTGAAGAAGGAAGGCTCACATTGTGGTGCTCAAATGTACTCGCATCAGTATGCAAACTGATGTAGAGTATGCCAAGTGAGATCTCTGTGTGCCCTCGTTCTCACTGTTGGTTTTTAGCCAGATCTGCTCTGAACTAGTTTCTGTGAGCAGTTTGTTGCTCTGACATTGTTTTTGCTCTTATGTCGTCCACATTGTGCCAGTTTCTGGTGCTCACAGCCCTTCATCTGTGCATCAAATGCGCAGTCACGTAGGAGATGTGCTAAAATAATTAATTTACAGGGCTTCCTCTGTCTGAGAGCTGCATCTATTTTTAATGACAGCTCAGTAGCACTACGCGGGAGGTGTTTGACTTGGTTTGGCTTCTTTGGGTTGTTTTTACAAGACCTTTCACCCAGTGGTTCTGATTCAACATGGCAGAAAAAAAATGTGTTGTTCCTACAGTGTTTAGATAAAGTAATGAAACAGTTTGAAATAGTATCCTTTGAGTACAAAAAGAAAACAACACCAAATACAGCTTAAAGGGGTTAACATTAGAAGATTACTGATGCTTAAAAGATAACCAGTTCAGTATTTTAGTGCTCCTGTTGGCAGGACTGAAAGTGTTCTAAAGTATTGAGCTGTTGGCAAACCCTGGGAGGATGAAACAGCTCTTAATTTTCTTATGGTTTTGGCAGGCTTCTCATGTTCTCAGTGATGTTGCACATCTTGAGTCTGAGATTTATGGTCTTTAACTCACTGTGCGACCAGCTTTGCTTTGACGTTTTTGTTTGTCCTGCCAGAAATCAAAACCAAAATGACACTGCTTGCTTCCTATACTTTGAGAGAAAAGGGATACAAGGTTCAGGAATTAAGTAAATTATAGTAAAGTATCAGTTAATGGGAACAATTGATTAAATTTGGTCAAATTGATAGAAACAGTACATTGTTACTT